TAAGTATAAATTGTATTTGAACAGAAATATTCGTTGAATTCTCTTTTAACTAAATGTCCGCGTTCATTTCGATCCGATTTGATCCGCTGTTAGCGGAATGTTAAACCAAAAAGGAAACAATTTTTCAAGAAATTTAAATACAGTAACCCCCAAATTAGGCAAAATTCAATTAAGAAAAATAATGCGATTCATTGTATTGATAAAGTTCATTACGATAATTCTTAGGAAAACAAATTTAGTTGCAGTTTCAGAACTGTATATTGACCAAATCCGTTGATTTTTTTTCTTATCTGCCTGATGTGCGTAAAATGTTTTCTTTCATGTTACTTCATCTTATATAATAATAATAATAATAATTGTTTATCCTTAATCCCTCTTACACATGAACTGAACAAGAGTAGCTATGGTTACAAAATAAATAAGAAAATATTCAATCACCTACTCTACATGGATGATCACAAACTCTTTGCCAAAGACGACAATAAGTTGAAAGGTCTCCTCAATATTGTAAAATACTTCAGTGACGACATAGGTATAGACTTCGGGTTAGATAAATGTGAAAAAATAACATTCAAGAAAGGTAGAATTACAGAAACACCCTTAATAGATTTAGATTTTGTCACAAAGATTAGGGAACTGGAGCATGATGAAGCTTATAAGTACCTAGGAATTAGCGAAGAAGATGGCATACAACACCCCCAAATGAAGAAAAAAATAAGAAAAGAGTACTACAGGCGTGTACGTCTGGTACTAAATACTGAGCTAAACTCAAAAAACAGAATATCAGCCATAAACACATTGGCTGTCCCTGTGGTGCAATACAGCTTTAATGTCCTTAACTGGACCATAGCTGAAATTAAGCGAATGGACGCCAAAAAGAGAAAGCTTCTCACTTGCTATCGCATGCATCATCCCAAAGCTGATGTCGATCGTCTGTATGTGCCCAGATCCGAAGGAGGCAGAGGATTAGTTCAACTAGAACTGTCGTACAAAACTACAACAATTGGTTCCAAAGATATTTGGAAACTACAGAAGACTGGATAATGATGTTGCAGGCCCGGTAGGGTGCAGTGCTAGTTTATTACAAAGTGGCCTTGTGCCAGACACCACACTAAACTACCGAGTCCACAAGCAATGTAAAAAAAAAATAAATAAAAATGCATGAATGAACAGCGAAGGAATGTGGTTAGTCCACACGTGCATAAATTAAATATATTAAGAAGATAGCCTGCACAGAATGACAGAAAAAGACTGGATTCAAACAAGAGTAGTTTTTTATTAAATGAAAGAAAACAAGTAACTTATCTCGTGGTAGAGATCAATGAAAATGTTCCGCGCCAAAACCGAAAAGCAAGATGGCTAAAGCGGGAAAAGTTCTTGAAGAAGAAGGTTCCAGAAAAGTCAATCTACCGGAATATTATACATACAAAGAAAAATACTCACTGCGAGTTTTTTTTCAAAGCAGATTAGAGTTCGATGAATGTGAAAAGTTCTGTTCCCTTGCTAGTGGCAAGGCAGGTTCGGACAAGACGTTAGTCACTCGACGAGAAAATTCTAGTTATCCAAAGCGTGTTGTGAGGACGAAGACGTACGTACAAAGTTTCTCTGATATAAAACAGGAGGAAGTTCCTCTAAGGAGTTAGTCTTCGGTCGAGGAAGAAGGTGGCCGATAGTTGCATCGTCTCAAAGAAAGAATTTGTGCGACGAGCCAAAAAGGTCGAAGAATTAATTATTGGTGATTGCATCGTCTCGAAGAAGGATTTGTGCGACGAGCCAAAAAGGTCGAAGAATTAATTATTGGTGATTGCATCGTAAGATATCCCTCGTCTCTCAACCTTAAATATCGACAGGGATAAAAATAAGTCACTTGTTGAATACGAAGTTTTGCTCACGACTGTGTCGTGTGTCTCGAACGTCTTCTGGTCGAAAACGGAGAAGGTCTGACCTGCGGGCAGCTTCAAGACGAGAAGAAGTCTTGGTAAAGTGTGAAGTCGACATTGTTGAGATAAGATATTCCGGCCCGCATATGGGTTAAGGGCACGGAATAAATGAGTTGCCCGTCTAGTCAGGTCGAAAGTCGGGAGGCAACTGGCTTGCAAATGCTGGCCGTTTGAGACGCCGAAAAACGCGCGGGAAAAAATTCAAAATCTGTTAGTCTGACTTCATCAGTAGGAGCTAGCGAAGTCCTTTCTCCAGCTTACTGCTACGTCTAGCTGTGAGAGGAAGGAAGGGGTGAAAACCGCGCGCACACACGCACGAGTGCGAAAGGAAGGGAGGAAACTCGCACGCGCGTAAAATACAGATGGAATTAATGTGTTAATTCCATAATGGTATGCGTCAAGGAACATGAAAGTAGTAAGCGTCTTTACTCCGTAATGAAAGAAGCCAACAAATTCGAAATGGAGTTTCAAATGGGCGTAGAGATGCAACTACAGCACAATACACCGGCTGAAACTGCAAAATATCTAAAAAAAGACAGCAAAGACGAATGCAACCGACCAGATACAGAAGCGATGGCAAGATAAACCACTTCATGGCCAATACTCTGCCCGTACCAAACAAGCTGACGTAGACAAAACCCGTACCCATCAGTGGCTACGTAGTGCAGGGTTGAAAGCGGACACTGAAGGTTTTATCCTTGCTGCACAGGACCAATGCTTGCTAACTAGGAATTATCAAGTACATATACTAAAATATTGTGTCAGCCCAAAATGCAGATTCTGTGATAAATACCCAGAAACGATTGATCATCTTGTATCAGGTTGCACGATATTGACACCCACTGAATATAAAACCCGACATGACAGAGTGGGCCAATATCTGCACTGGAAAATCTGCAACTTCTACGGGAAGGAAACTCAAAGAAACTGGTATGAACACCACCCAGACCCGGTTACGGAGATAGGACCTGTTACAATTCTATGGGACTACACAATACACACTGACAGAACAATCAAGGCCAACTGCCCAGATATTGTTATTAAAGACCACAAACAAAAACGGTGTCTCCTTATTGATATGGCAGTCCCTGATGACTACAATGTATCTTTGAAGATATTCAAAAAGCTGTCAAAATACAAGGACCTTGAAATAGAAATTTCGAAAATGTGGCATATGGGAACATCAACAATCCCTGTTGTAGTTGGAGCCCTAGGATTGGTTGGAGAAGTAGACTAATTGAAGGGATTCCTGGAAGTCCATGCCTCAAGGAGATACAAAAATTGTTCTGACAAGTACAGCCCACACTTTACGAAGGGCTTTATCTATGTAATTTTTTTTTTTTTTTTTTCAGTGGAAAGTGTCATGACGCCATTTCTAACCGTAGTTCCCTGGGCGGGACCCGGAAAGAAATGTGTAAACGCCAGAAATCAAAGAAAATAATAATAATAATAATAATAATAATAATAATAATAATAATATTTTTCTTTCTTTTATTTATTTTTTTTTTTTTTTCTGTCAGTGGAAAATGTCATGATGCCATTTCTAACCTTAGCTCTCTGGTTGGGACCCGGAACAAAATGTGTACACATCAGAAATCAAAAGAAATAAAACAATAGTAATAAAATTCAACAGTTCGATTACCAAAAGTGATCATAACTGACTAGATTTCTCCATATATCTTGATTACAGGCCAATGTCTAAGTAGGAATTATCTTCCAGTGGACCCATTTTCTTCTCTGCCTCATCTTCTTTTGCCTAAGGCGATAGGTAACTTGTAGGACAGTTGTGGAATGGTTTGGGGCTTTTATGACACTACCATGTCAATTTTCTCTTCTTGGCAGCGGATAAGGCGGTCTTCTTATTGTCCAATGGCGCCTCTCATCATTTACGAATAGATCTACGTAGAAGATGCCAAAGACAGTTCTGCAGCATCTAATTTCTAATATCTTGGATTCTTCGCTGGAATTCTCCTGTTAATTCCAATATTCACAGACGTACAGAAAGATTGAGAAGGCCGACGTACACAACAGCCTGATCTTCGATTTCCAGTAAATGATTTTAAAACAATGAATAGATGCATGCAAAAAATCCGTGAGTTTATATTTGAAAACTGTCCTTTTTGGTTTTACTGGCAATATTTGCACGCAGCTTGTTTCTTTCTTAAGTCAAACCCTTACCTTACTACGGTTTCTGTTGATTCATTGCCATTTTTATTCTCCATAGTTAACAAGCAAGTTTGGCGCTTTTGCTTATCATTGAGTACCTTGCTTTACAAAACATAGATTAGTAAATATCATAGTGGAAGCTAAGATAAGTGTAACTTCCCGATCGGTACTAGTCGGCTAATGTTTCAGACCAAAATGCTGATTTTACCAGTTAATGTTGAACGGTTAATCGATTCTTTTTCTAGAAAAATAGTTTTATATTATAAGCATTTGGGGGTCTATATAATAATGATTTAAAGATACAAAACTTGCTAATTAACCCATAGCAGGGGGAGAAGAGGTAGGTTGATACGACGTTGTCTGCTGTGGAGCGTAAGTCGTCACTATAGCCAGTTTGACCTTTATGCCGAAACCATTTATTGTCATTTTGTATTTGGCAAAAGTAACACACCATTTATTTACTGTTAACTCTTTCAATGAACAAGAAATTTAAATTGAGTTGTCCTTCAGCACCTAAATGAATGCTGTGAATTTCGAATTTACAGGAAGGGAAAGCAAAGTTCCATAGAGCCTGTCTTTTACTTCGGGTAATTAAATCAAGAAAATACATTGATTGACTGATTTATCAACCATTTGCATGTTTTTAATTTCAGAAAATAGTTTTAGTTTGTAAGTTTTTGTTTGCTTTTTTTTTGTTTGTTTTTTCTTTAGATTATAGTAGTTTGTGGATAAAAGTCTTACTAATTAAACCATTGCTTGGTAGGAGGTAGATTCCTACCTTTCCCAAGGTTATGATCGCATAAGTGAATATAGGAAACCGAACTGGATTTAGAACTCGGCTCTCCGATTAAAAAATCCCCAACCATTACTTATTACACCACCTGCACATCCAAGCATACATCAGCTGGTATTCCCAAACGGTCACCAATCTAGGTACTGACCAGGCTCGATATTGCTTAACTACGATGATCATACAAGAACTAGTGTTTTAATGCGATATGACCGTAAGCCCACCTTTACATCACCTGGTATTCCCAAGCGGTCACCCATGTAGGTACTGACCAGGTTCGACGTTGCTTAGCGTTACATCTCAATTGTTTGAAGAGACTACTTGATAGATGCCTTGCAAGGGGATATCGGAGGTTCTCTTATTTTGTTTTGTTTTTTTCGTCTTTTTTTTTTCTTTTTTTGCAAATGGTCAACAAGGTCAAATTTCGAACCAAAAGTGTTTTCTTAATAGTGATTAAGACATTTATCGTACTATTACTCTAAACAATCGCTATGATTCTTAAAAACGAAACAGATACAACGTCGTAAAATCTTATTCATCACATGACACAGCCCTTGTTGAGTTGAAGAGATTTGTATTTTTCTTCGTTTATGCTAATCAGAATCGATAGCTATTACGTCATTGAGTAATTTTTATTCTGAAACTAAAAGGAAAGTTTTCGGCAGAAAAGATCAATAAAATAGAAAAGTCGAAAGAAGAATGTAACTGGAAGTTGAAAGGAAACAAAACGGAAATTAACGAAAGTACAGGAAAAAGAAAACTAGATGAAGCAAATTGACTTTTCTGACAATTTGCAGCTATGCATTAAAGATATTATGAAAAAAATAAAGAAAATGAATGCAAGGGATTCATTTTTGTAATGGTTTCGATTTAAATGAAACCCAATTTTATTTATATAGAATAATAACGCAGAAAAGTGATAACAATATCCACTTTAAAAAACGAATCCAAAATAAATATGAATAAACTGAATCGAAAGGCAAACGTCAGCTCCATTGTAAACTGGAAGAAAACTAAAACATATGTAAAAATAGATCCTTGTACGTAAGCTCTGGATAACTATAGTTTCATTTTTAGTGTTCCATAATTGCTGAGACGATTAGCGATCACGACAACCTCCTATTACTAGTAGCCCTTAGCAACACTTGTCCCTTTTCTAAACCTGTTTCCTGTAACGTTATCCATTCACACAAGTTGATCAGGGACGTATTAGGCTTCATTCCTGTGAGTGTCATATTCTCTAAGTCATCCTTCCTCATTAAGAGTCCCCAATATTTCATCTGCCTCTTTCTTCTTCTGAGTAAGTATCCTGTTTGCATCCATTTTACTTAACAGCAAAAAAAAACATATCAATATTCTGATCCTTTCTTGGAAGATTAATATTGACTCCAATGTTTTAAGATGCAGAAGGTCGTAGAATGAATCTGTCGAAGTGTATTCGTAAAGACAACTATAAATATGATTAAAACAATCCTACCGAAGAATTATTGGAAAGATAATGATTCGCTCTTCTGATAGATCAGCAGAAAAAAGCGGGGTGAATCAATTGAAAAGAATGAGACTATCTGATGAATTTATGGAATTTATGATGGAATTTATTTTATGGAATGTATTTTATTTCTATAAGCATGAAGAAGTCGAAGAATGAATGAACCGAAAAGATTTATTAACATTGAAATAAAAAATATTAATATGAAAATACCGAACAAATCATGAAATTATAATTGTCTTGGTTTTCGAGAAAGCTGAAGAAGGATGTAGAATGAATCGGTCAAAGTGTTGTAGAATAATGCAGCAAGCGGAATGAAATCAATGATTGGTAGAATTCTTAGAACGATGGTGTTCCAATCGGGAAGAAGAAGGCAGAATTAATCGGTTTAAGTGATTTATTAACCTCAAAAGCAAGTAAAAGAACGCTGATCAATGGGCCAAACCTTATTTCTAATAATAATTGTCCACAATTTCGAGAAATCTGAAGAATTACTTAGATGGGATCAACCAAAAAGTTAAAGTGAGATCAGACTAACAAAAAGAAAGAAATCAATTTGCTATGAAATAAAAATTATTCATATTTACATCCACCCGAATAATGAATCGGTCTGTATGTTATATTAAAACTGAAAGCCATAAAAACAAAGAAATCAGTAGTCTGAAGAATTCTTGAAAACGAGGATGAATCAAGCTAAAGATTCTGTTAACATCAGAAACCCACAGAAAAAGAATTTTTTTTTATTACGTTCAGAATTTTTTTTTTATTACTAAAGCTTTGCTTAAGAATGATTCGTCCCAAAATTACGAAATTTGCATTTCAAGTGAAATAAGACTCTTCTGTATAAATTGCCGAAACGCAAATCTACACCTTACAGGAATTTAATATGATTTTGTCGGTCTTGAATTTTATTGCTTTTATATCTTGGAGAAGTGATTGACCCAAGACTTGCTTGAAATTGTCTTTTTTTGTGTGTGTTGTTGTTGTTTTTAAATGAACCCCAACTCTAGAAAGGCTTTATGTAAAATTCCTGTGGAATTTATAAATTCTAAACTGTTCAAATAGATTCAGTTATAACGAATTTGATTGGTAATCAACGTTGATTACCAATTAGTCCTCAAAATCGATAACGCAATAATTTGTTTTTAAATTACTTTATTTCTGCTATATTTAGAAATGTTTAAGATACTTGCTCTTATTCTGTGCATTGAGTAGGTTTTGAACTCTTGGAGTTATCATTAGTCACTTGTTGTATCCTAGTTGAATAAATTGATTCCATTCCGGTTTGGTTTAGTTATTTTTACGGTATATCAACCTTAAAGGTTTATTTAATGCCGGCAAGATGTTTATTGTTAGTAATATCTTTTTCAAAAATGTATTGCTGGTAATAATTATTTTTAAAAATGTATTGTTTGTAACAATTGTTCCCAAAAATATTGCTGGTCCTAAAACTTGTTTTTATAGCTTCATAGTGTTTTGGCACCTTTTTTTGTGGTGGGGGGCGGTAACTAATTGCCCATAGCTTGTACCATGACAGATGCTATCACACCGGCTAAGGGTGGAACTGGGAACAACCAGCAATTAAGAGGTGGTTCCACGCTCCTCAAAACCTCCTAATCAGAGGCCTTGCTGTTGGGTGTAGTTTATTGTCTTACCCGGGACGCGGATGTAGTTTATCGTCTTAACCAGAACAGAAAGGATTTTGTTGAATGAGGTGAGAAAATGGAACATAGGAAAAACTGAGTAGTTTTGTCCAAATATTTGCAACATGTTGCAAAAACAAAGTATTAACCTTTAGGACCTCGAGTAATTTTCTTAAATAATTCCTCAGATCAAGAGAAATATGGATGTAATTTTAGCGTTCATTCAGGAAGTTTCAAACTATCAGCTATGTACAAGAATTTTCTCAGATCAATGATTAAATATGTTTTCAAATGAATTAATCTTCTTCGTCCTAAAGAATACTGTTTTTGTCAGCACTTATTGACCGGCGCTGGAGAATTAGAAAGAAAGAACACTGCCAAATAAAAAAAGCCATATCAATTGAAAACATTCATTATTAAAATGGTTATCAGTTCTATCTAGATAGAAAAATAATAATCAAGATGTTCACTTCCTACACTAAAGCAAAAGATTAAGCAAAAATATCCATCATTACTACAAAGAATTTTATGGAGTTGAGAAGTCTTTTCTCCCGATAAAAATGTTGTAAGAAAAAGTATTTTTGTTAAGTATGAAGCAGCAAAATAAGTCTCATCAGTTTTTAATTTTGTATCAAGGCTTTATTTTCAGCCTCATCTGATAACGGAAAAATACACATTTTCGTACTTAAAAACAAAATGTTTATTTTTAAGAAGAAAACCCCTTTTTGTCATTGCACTTAATCCGCTGGTGATGACTAATCACCTTTATTTAAAATTATTTTGTGAAATTATATTAAAATTCTGTCAAAGACAAGACTGTCAGGTCGACAATCACATTGATCCATCCTAGTAAAGGTCCCTATAGGAATATTGCAATCTAAAATAAAATACTGTCTAACACTGAATTTATATTTGGATAGATAGATAGATAGATAGATAGATAGATAGATAGATAGATAGGAAGAGATTTAGAAAGAAAGAAAGAAAGAAAGAAAGAAAGAAAGAAAGAAAGAAAGAAAGAAAGAAAAGATTTGGGTATATATAGATAGAAAGAAAGATAGTGAGAGACAGAAATAACCATAGGATGATATTCAAAGAGAGAGAGGGAGAGAAAAAGAGAAGGACTGAGACTGTAAATGAGAAATATATAAATTATTTCCTAACTTTGTGAAAAATCTTGTATTATGTATAGACTTAATTCTAATATATCCTGGTCAATTAAACGTTTCTAATTTAACAGCCTTTGACATCAAATGTAAAAATTCCTTTCCAAAAAAATTTTTTTAAAGGTTTTTTTTTTTTTTTTTTTTTCAAAAAATTTTTAAAAAATTTTAAAGGGGTTTTTGAAAAATTTGTTTTTTTTTTAAAAATTTTATTTTTAAATTTTGGGGGGGGTTTTTTTTTTGGGGTTTTTTAAAAATTTTTTTTAAATTGGGGGTTTTTCCCCCTTTGTTTTTCCCCTTCAAAAAAAAACCCTTTTTTTTTTTTTTTTTTTTTCCCCCCCCCTTTTTTTCCCCCCCCGGAAAAAAAAAAGGGGGGGTTTTTTTTTTTTTTTTAAATTAAAAATTTAAATGGGGCGGGGGCCGGGAAAAAAATTTAAAGGGTTTTTGGGGAAAAAAGGGGGGGGGAAAAAAAAAAAAATTTTTTTTTTTTTTAAAAAAAAAAAATTATTTTTTTTTTAAAAAATTTCCCGGGGAAAAAAAAAAAGGGTTTTTTTTTTTTTAAAAAAAAAATTTTTTTTTCCCCCGGGGGGTTTTTTTCCTTTTCTTTTTTAAAAAATTTTTGAAAAAAAAGGGTTTTCCCCTTTTTTAAAAATTTTTTTTTTTAAAAAACCAAATTTAATTTTTTTAAAAAAAAAAATTAAAAGAATTAAAAAATTTTAAAAAAAAAAAAAATTTTAAAAAAATTTTTTAAAATTTATTTTTTTTAAAAAAAATTTTTGGGGAAAAAAAAAAACCCCAAATCCAAACCCCCCTTTAAATTATTTTTTTTTTTTTTAAAAAAATTTTTAAAAAAAAAAAAAAATTTTTTTGGGGGAAAAATTTTTTTTGCCCATAAAAAAATTTTTTTTTAAAAAAAAATTGCC